ATCTTAGTTCTCGACGGTGGCAAAATATCTCCATTTTGATTCTCAATCGACGCTTGACGTAGGTGAACTGTGCGTTAGTTTGCCTCTATACTTTAAAAAAAATTGAGGTAAATTGATTTAAACAAACTGTAAGTTATGATGGCTATACAAACATTTTAGCTGCAACCGATACTAAAAATTATTAAAAGTAAATAATCAGCAAGATTTGCATAAAATACAAGAAAAGTAGATAGGAAAATCTGAAGTAACCGATTGCTTATCTAGTTCCAGATAAACCGAACAGTTGGATAGCAAACAACAATAGAACATCCGATGCGACGGAAGAAACGAATTCATTCAATTCCGTCGGCTGATGGGAGGCGGATCGGGTAAATTGAATTTGCTTAATGGAAACTTACTTTAGCCCGACTACAATTTGAATGAAATGCCGGTAGTTCATTGGTATGTGTACGACGTTATTTCTCGATATTTTTCAGCGAATCTTGAACAAAAGTAATAGTCGTCAAAGGTGAGGGTACGAAATGTCAGTATCGTAAGTTAATTTTGAAACATTTGTTAGAAATGGTTCTAAGCTTGAATGTGACTCCAATATTGCCGCAGGTACAACTTGGTAAAGCCACACTTCAGTTATATTATGGTTGTCTCGACCGGGGACGAACCACGCTCTCACAGAATACCAGCGTAAAATAGCAGCTTAATGCTACTGTGCTTCATACGGTGAGTGTAGAGAACCGGCCATCCTTTTTAATGGTACCAAGGTATTTCATCTTAGAGTGACAAGGCATCTGCATTTTGAGTTTTAATTAAAGATAAATGTAAATGACTATAAGCCACAGCATCCACTTACCATCAGGTGGACTGTATGCTCGTTTGTCACTCTTTTTCTATGAAATAAGTATGCGTAGCAATTGTAATTTTTAAAAGCTAATTTAATATGTTGCGTAGTCAGCACACCTGCACGACCGAAAATAAAATATACTTCGATGACAGATGAGATCCCTTGATCTGAGAATTTTCTGCTTTATTATAATGATAATAATGTCCCCCAGACCGTATTTCGATCACGGCGGCCGCTCTCAACGGCGAATAGCCACCTGCTCAGGCCAGGATTATCTACATCAACAACGCATCTGAATGTTGATTCGTAATCGACGATAGGTGTGTAGATGTCTATGGATCACAGAAACCACTTACCATTAGGTGGACTGTGTGCTCGTTTGCAGCCCTTATCATATAAAAAAATAACCCAAAGATGCAGTAATTCATTACAAAATCTCCATGTTGTGTATGGCCTTATCTTATTATTCAGACCTGCCCAGCGGTATTGTTTATACTTGATATACTGTAACTTTTTTTTATATGTTCAAATTTATTTTGCAAATTGACAAAATTTTTAACATAGCTCTCTTTCTATACATTTCCAGATCTATAATTATTTATTATATTCGGGCCATATTCATCATTCCGATTAAAAAAAACACTTCATGACGTCACGCAACATGAAAATGACACCAAATATTGCGTTAAATGTTCATTAACTTCGATCAAGTGATAAATTGTTTTATATTCCTCGCCACTTAGTGTAATAGCTCTAAATTATATAACCATAAACTCTACTACTAACTCTAGACGAGGCTCAATAGTAAATTTGTTTGAAAGAAAATAAATTATAACATTAATATTTTAGGCAATATGATTATAACACACTAGCTGTGTCCCGCGGTTTCACCCGCGCATAGTTTAAGAAATCACTGATTGATTGATTCATTATAATACTTCAGTATAGACAATACTTTTATAAAATTTTCACGTGGTGTTAAAATATATTGGTTCTCTCGGTTCTCATCGGGTTGCTAGTGTTATGCGCCGTTCATGCGCGGAGCCGAGTGTTGATTTATTTTAATTTTTCATTACCTCTTAAACTATGCGTCCAAATAACATGCTATAAAGAACAAAGTTTATCTTTATAAATTGACCTTCATTTGATTCATTCATTTGATGATGAAGTAACTATCGTTCGTAATGATTAATATGCCATATCTAATAGTAACGCTCATAAATGACTTTTTAATTTTCAATATTTTTTTGTTATATAATACTTGGCTTATGTATAAGAAATAGAACTAGGGTATCGCGAACCTTTTTTTAGATGGAGTAAAGATTAATATTGTAGAATACGTATTACCTACGTAACCATTACACTAGCGCACGACAATAAAAGTACAGCACAGTAAAAGTACAACAATAAAGTAGTTCTGGAGCTTTTTAATATTTAAGGCTAGCTGAGAGCTGTAGCCTAATGCCAGACACTATTCCTCATGTATCGGGTTATCATATACGATTTTTTTTTAATCGGACTTGTAGTTTCAGAGAAAAGCATGTTTAAACATACAAAAAAAACTTCCAATTAGAAAGTAACGTCCCATTAGATATTTTACTTATAATAATGACTTGGACAAATAAATTATAAATGTGTTCCTTCATATTGTTCATCATCATCATCATCATTTCAACCCATCACAAGTCCATTGCTGAATATAGAATCATAGCTTCCCCGAAGAATGTCACAAAGCACGGTCGTGTCTCCTGCATCCATTGACTTCCTGTATCTCTTACGTCGTTACTCTGTCTAGTGGCGTGCGGCCCAACATTTCGCTTACCAGTACAAAGCTGCCACTCAAGAACCTTTCATCCCCATTAGTTGTCAGTCCTTCGAGCTATATGGCCAGCCTCTTCAGTTTACGGTCAATTGGGCGATGTCGGTTACTCTGGTTCTACTGTAGATATCCTCATTAAGAAGCATACTTACACTACACACAGATAATACACAGATATTACGCAACTCCGAGCACAGCCCCCTCCATAACTCTCATTACGAGTATATAAAAAGTGTCAATTAATTCAAATGTAAATTGTATTGCGTTTAGCTTTGTTTTTTTATCTGTAGTTATTTAATAATAAATACTCTGATCTTTTTTGTTCATTTTTAACAACCATATGTGAATTGAGACAAATAAAAAGGTTTATTATTATGTTATTATTATTTTAAACGGATTCTTTTAACAATGACTTAGGGTATTCAACGCATGAAGTAATTTAATTTTGCTTAAATCGGATTCATTGTATAAGACATCCACCAATGTTTTCACAAGCACGTCTGTAGCTCCTTAGGGGTTAGGTTGCATCTCTACTACACAACTAAACACGTCTTATCACAAAATAGTGCTTATTGACAATCTCGGGCTTTTACCTATGGTATAAAAAGTTTTTCTCACAAAAAAAAGGTCCGGTTTAGCCCCAGCGTCACAGTTGTCGCGAAATTTGACATTTGATGTTATTCCATTCTCTACACTTCAGTCCGCAAATTTCCGCGGGACTTTCGTCGTGACACAGATTATAGCTTATACCTGAGACTTGTCACAAGCTACTTTTTGTAATAAGACGGAGTAGTGCTAAGCATTGTTCGGACTAATCAGAGGAATTCTTTAGACTAACTGCAGCCGCTAAATTTCACCATCCCAAATCGTAACAAAACTAGCGATACCATCCATACCATCTGGATGATTGGCGGTCCACCACTGTGCGATTTACCATAAGTTTTCGTCCCCTTACTACTTCGTTGTGGAATCTACTACCACTAGCGATTTTTCTGGATATATACTACTTAGTGACGTTGAAGAAAATAGCCTACTCTTTTGTAAAAGGTCATGCACTTGCAATTCCTCTAGTGTTGCTGCTGTTAATGGGCGGCGGTTGTCACTTACCATCAGGTGAGTCGCATGCTCGTTTGCCTCCTCTTATATAAAACAAAAGCATGGACAAATATTATTTATCACAGAAATATGTTTTAAGAAATAAGTTGGAATAACAAGTTAATGTGACAATTTATTAGTGCAAATGCAAATACTACTGAAACGTTCAAGAGTATTAAAAAATCGGACAAGTGCGAGTCGAATCCGTGCTCTGAGGGTTCCGTATTAATTCATTTATGTAGATAGTTCACACTTCCCTGGAATTAAATACGTGAATAAGGTAAGCACCGAATATTACTCAAACGTCGAATTAAAGGACAAATGTGGCTTTGCAGTGAAAAATGTCTACATCGTTGTCAACTAACAATGAATGTTTGTCATCGCAAAAGAAATTATCGATATGACTACAAATAAACAATTCCGGATTTTTTACTTTACTTGTGCTATGACACTTTGCTTGCCAAATTTTATGATTCTAGATGAGTGAGATTTTTCCTTTAATTATTACAGAATATCAAAAGTCTACCACTGAGCATAAGTCTCCCATAGTTCGCCTCATAGGGATATTTGCCAAATATTTTTAGTATAATAATTTTTCAAAATAGTATAACAATGCGGTTTTTAATCGCATTTTTCTACTATTTTGAGTAGTTACCACGGCAATCACGGCCATTGTATCAAAAATGTGACAGAAATATCCGTGTACTATTGAATACGTTGACTTAAAAGCTTGAATTTTTTACACATCCGAGGGCACTTAAGTAATAGATATTATTTCAACTTGTTACCCTCTTCTCCTTCTCGAGAAAAAGGGCTCTTAACGGGTGGACCAACGGACCTCAAAGTGAAAGTTTAAGGGTTCCGTTCTTTTCTATTGAGGAACGGAACCCTAAAAACACTCAAATACAAATAAATATAACTTCGAGAAGTGAAGACTGAATAAAGAAGTATTGAGAGAAATGTTATGTATGTACTACAAATTACAAAAGTTACGAGTAGCTCGTAATGTAAGTTGTTTTCTTTTTTACTTAATGAATAGCTAAACTTTTCTTTTCGTAGTTTATATCAAATGGTTGTTGTAATCAAAACGAGTTAGTTTGAAACTCGTTTTGATTACCACAAATTCACTTCAACTTTAACTTCACTTCACTTCGACTTTACGCTGTCTGCCGTCTACTGAACTTGATAAATGATATACTTACCGTTTATGTCTTATATAATGGAACAAAGGCACAAAATGGCGTAATTTTGTCAGTAACGAAAAAAAGGTAGCATGATAACTTATAGATTTTTAAACTACATCGCATTGCGCTTTTAATTTATTGCGCTTATAGAAATATAAGTTCTAGAAACTTTTTATAACGTACGCATAAGATTAATTATTATTACAAAAATTTAATTATCTGGTAAATACGATATGCGGCTCAGCATTGTCATCGAGAATGATATTATACAATATATTGGTAAATCCAATTGGGCATGCCTTAAGCGCATTAAAAAAATTACGTATAACATACGATTATACGGAACTTTTAAAAGTAGTTTAAATACATTTCGACAGCATTATCGGCTTCAACTCTCTCGAAAACCATGAAAATGACACCCATGATAAAAAAATTGATATCTATTGCAGCCGCCATCTTGGATTTACATTTCGACAACCCTATCGGCTTCAACTCTCTCGAAAACCATGAAAATGACACCCATGATGAAAAACTTGATATCTATTGCAGCCGCCATCTTGGATTTATATTTCGACAGCACTATCGGCTTCAACACCCTCGAAAACCATGAAAATGACACCCATGATGAAAAACTTGATACCTATTGCAGCCGCCAGAAAAAATTTATACTACTTACTTTTAGTACGTACTACTGTTATTTATTCTGTGCTTTCAAAATATTGTAATAAAAAAAATCTCTCATTATTATTATAATCAAGTATTTAAGAAATTTGTTTATTCGAATATTGTGTATTTGTACAGCGATCTTTTTGAGCCGCTGCAAACAACCGAAACAATGTCCACTCACGACGGCGACTGACGCCGAACTGAGTGACGCAGTCTCTATTCTATTTAGTAATAATTTTTCATACAAGGCTGCTGAATACACCGAAAATTTCGCCATTTCGCAGCCGTAAAATTTATTATTACTAAATTAAACAAAATTAAATTGCCATTTACATTCAATGGCTTCCCACATGATAGATGAAGAGTTTTAAAAATATATTGAGCTGAACAATTGATATTTTTAAAAGTTATCGTGTCCGCAAGGCTTGTAAGCCTTGCGGGCTTGATAAATCCACACCATAAGCCACTAAAACCCTTTTTTATTTAAAAATAGCAATTAATCGATTTTAAAAAATATATTAATAAGTTAAACAATCATTTATCTTTCTGACTTGAATGTGCTTTTTATATCACTTATATGTACAATAAGATTTTAGGCGATAGTAGAACATACTTTGCGCTTGCGCTTAAGGCCTGCAATAGAATTAGTATTTTCACATCATGTCAGTTGAGTCCTTATATTAGAAAAAAGAAGACTCTTTGATTCTCTTTTTGTATGGAATATGTATGTAGCACTGTCGTAATTTTTATGTCTTGTAAATCTTTATCGCCTTGTTTTATATTTTACGTATGTATAATATAAAATTCTCATTCAACGCTTGCTATTTTATTATAATTTGTTTTATATCAATAGCCCTTTAAGTCCAGTACTGGTTTTAGATTTATATTAATACACAGTATTTTTTTTAAAAACCTCCAATATACTTACTACTCTAATTAGGTGGGTTGGCAGCCCCTTTATGTCCACCTCTAAACATAGGCCTTCGTCAAGAAATGCCGCAAAGCCCAAAAAGGTTCAGAGCCACATGCATCCATTAACTGTTATTATTTACTTTATATTTAATCGAACGTAGAGCCAACATCAAACAAAGAACGCTACAGATGCGTTGTCTCTTCTGAGAATTAAGGTAGAAATGTATAATTATTCTAGTTCTCCAATCCTCACACCGGAACACTGCAGTGCACGCACTGCAGATTTGCGGCATAAATAGACAACACTTTTACACTCGTAATATTGCCCCGATTACCTGTGTACTTCTGTTTGATAGTCTGTGAAACTTGAGTTTAGCATTTTCTGTATGAATTTATCACAATAAGTCGGTTACATTTGCGATAGTCTCTTAGTTGGGTACAACACGTACAAAATCGTTAAAAATGTAAAGTGATTATATAACATACCCCTTACTGGGCTGGTCACGTCTGTCGCAGTGGTGACAACCGGTGGAGTAGACGTGTTATGGAGTGGAGACCGCGTCTAGGCAAACGTAGTGTGGGACGCCCCCTGACCAGATGGAGCGACGATCAGCACAAGGTGGCTGGTAGAAACTGGATGCGTGTAACCGAAGATCGGGCTAAGTGGCGCGCCTTGGGAGAGGCCTATGTTCAGCAGTGGACTGCCGCAGGCTGATGATGATGATGATACCCCTTACTGCCCAAGTAATAATTTATTTACCAATAACGTGTAACGGTAAAAATATCGTCCTGTGGGTATCGTAACAGGCGTCAGAAGGAAACAAACCAGGAGATGGGCAGCAGCGTCTTTCTTTTTACAACTTAAAATAAAAAAACTGCGATTGCTAACCCGCATGTCGGGCGCGGCAACTATTGCAAATATTCCCTCGTATGTGGGAGGCATTTGTTCAGCAGTGGACTTTTGATAGGCTGTCACAGTAGCGGTAACGGTAACGGTTTAAGATAGTATTTCTTATTCTAAGAACTAAAGTTTTAAACTAAGCGAATTCGCTCTCTAGTAGAGAAATTAGTTTAATAGCATTTGTTAGTAATTACGAGGAGGATCCGGGAAGAGATTACCAAGTTCATTCAGACACTAATATTTATGATAAAACTACGCTGTGCACGGCGTGTACCGGTAAAGTGAAGTTCTAACTGATTATTGGCTAAACACATTTGACTTCGTATGAATCGAAAATTTTATTCCCTTTCTGCAAGCTTTATGGTAAAAATATTTCTTTGTCGGTTTAGTTGTTAATCGTACTTACGTGAACAGTAATAGTACGTACGTGAATAGTAACACTTAGAATAAAACTAATTTTATATTTTAACTTTCCTGACATTTCAGGGGCTTTACAATACCCAAGGTCACAGGAGGGACTGAAGTGTTTGACGTCCTGATTTCATTAGTTAACGAAGGGTGTCATCAACTACAGTCACCCCCTAGACCATAGAATAGAATAATTTTTATTCAATATATGTAATAATACTTATTGGAAGTCATTTTTTTATTTACTTACCATGGGTGGTGAATCAAAAATACTGAAAATTAATACGCGATTAAATCCGTAAAATTTGTATTCATCATCATTATCATCATTGAATGCCACAAAGCACGGTCCTGAACCACCTGCATCCATCGAATTCCTGCATGTCTTACCAGGTCATCACTCCATCTAGTGAGGGGCCGCTCCACACTTTGCCTACCGGTACGAGGCTGCCACTCGAGAACCAGGCTTCCCCATCAGTTGCCGGTTTTTCGAACTATATGGCCGGCCCATTGCCACTTCAGCATACTAACACGTTGGGCTAAGTCAGTTACTCTGGTTCTACTGCGGATATTCCCTATCACGCAGAGAAACCCCGAGCATAGGCCATTTTATAGCTCGCTAAGCGACCTTGACATTCCTCATACGGCCAGCAGTAAAGAACCACGCCTCAGATTCATAAGTCATCACTAAGGATGTGTCATAATCTCCCTAACGCTGCCCAGTCGATTGACGTCTCGGTCGAAGTTGGACTTATCTAATCGGACTATTTATCCCAGGTAAACATACATGTCAACCACTTCGAGCTTAGTGCTCCCAACAACTACCGACGCAGGTGGGATATGGATGTTACGCATGATCTTTGTTTTGTCATGTTCATCTTAAGACCTATCCTTTGAGGGGCACTATTGAGATATGCTCAATGGCATAGTGCTTAGGTCCTCCATAGGACTATATAGTCGTGATGTATTCGCCATTGATGTTAATACCGTATCTTTTCTAGTCTAGCAGCTTGAAAACTTCTTCCATTATAACAATCCCCGAAGAGATTATTGAGTTGTAAAAACAGATTTCTTGCTTTTATAGTAAGTTTTAAAAATGTCAAAGCTTTTCCCAGTAGAGTAAAAAGCACGTTACATGATTTTCCATTTATTGTACGATGACATACGCGCTAAGGTGATTCTTTGGAGCCGTAAATGTCTTCAAAGCTTACATGAAAAGGCTTTCTTCCTTTCTTACACTGATTATGTTTCAATAATGTTCGTTGTTTTTCCGTCGGTCAAATTTGATATCTTTTTAAAGCTGTAGGAACTGTAGGAAACTTGTTAATGGATTATTTAAAACTAATATGAATTTAGGTATAACCGTCTGCGGAGCGACCAACTCTCCGTGCGAGTAGTATAAAGGTTGTTTTTTTTAATAACACTGAAGTGACAAATGAACTTACAGCCTACCAAATAGTAAGCTGCGGACAAATAAGTCTAGAAGATGCGTTGTAATCGCTGAAGACTACGATAGAATGCCTCACAGCTTTACTTTAGTAAACTATTTAGTAATCTGTGTCACAGCCAATTATACAAGCTATGCTCAATTAACACTTCCGACAGGCACACAACAGTACACGCACTGCTGTTTGGTGGTGGTAATAAATATAAAAAACAGGGTACAGAACAAATCCGTAGGTATATAAGTTTATATATGATGTAACTAAAAATTTATGCTTTTCGCAATTTTTCCTTTATCTGTGCTATAATACGTTGCTTCGTACCAAATTTTAAGATTCTGAGTTCACGGGAAGTACCCTGTAGGTTTTGATTCCCTTGCGAATGTCGAAAATTTACGGCATAAACGGCTGTATCTTTTGATTGCGTTGGCTTAGAAGTTTGATTTTTTCACAGCTCCAAGGGACAGTAGACTTGAGTATTTGATATGAATTTCAGCTTGATACCTCCACGCATTTCTGAGAAAAAGGGTCTTGACAGACAGACAGACGGACAACAAAGTGATCCTATAAGGGTTCCGTTTTTTCCTTTTGAGGTACGGAACCCTAAAAAATACCTATCCAAACAGACTCTTAGACAGAAAATTATACCAGGTGGTAACCTAGTATATTGTAGCTGATTTTATATATTACTAGCTATCCACCCCGGCTTCTTACGGGTGATTTCTGAATCTCGACAACAGCGCCACCTACCGGGTCTAATAGTGAATCTGAACCATCTAGGACCCCTCAAACGCACGCAAAAATGTAATCAAAATTGTTCGAAACATTTTCTAGTTTTAGCGAGACTAGCAATTGATTTTTATGTAGACTTCAATTGCTCGATTCACACATGTGGATATTTTATATAATAGTTATGGCGAAGTGACAGCGCCGGCAAAAAATGATCAGCACAAACAAATTTAAAGCTGTTTAGTGTTGATTTTCTTTATAATTTGTAGAAAACAATATTTTATCTAATTTTATAAGAAATCACTTATGTAGACATTCGGAATGCCTTGCTACTATTAGGGCTTTTTGTACTTATGAAATTTATATTTATTTTATAGTGCTACGTGCGCTATTACCGTCTCAACAGGTAAGCGAGTAATCGTTATATGAATCATTAACCTGAACTCTCTGACGGTGTAATAACATTAGTTCCTTACTTAAAAGCGTTATCATCATCATCATCATCATCATTACAGCCCTTCACAAGTCCACTGCTGAACATAGGCCTCCCCCAAAGAATGCCACAAAGCACGGTCCTGAGCCACCTGCATCCATCGACTTCCTGCATATCTTACCAGGTCGTCACTCCATCTAGTGGGGGGACGCCCTACACTTCGCCTGCCGGTACGAGGCTGCCACTCGAGAACCTTTCTTCCCCATCGGTTGTCGGTTCTTCGAGCTATATGGCCGGCCCATTGCCACTTCAGCTTACTAATCCGTTGGGCTATGTCGGTCACTCTAGTTCTACTGCGGATATCCTCATTTCTGAGTTTATCACGCAGAGAAACTCCGAGCATAGCCCTCTCCATAGCTCGCTGAGCGACCTTGAGCTTCCTCATCCGGCCAGCAGTGAAGGACCACGTCTCAGTTCCGTATGTCATCACTGGCAACACGCACTGGGTGTACAGTCTCGTTTTCAAGTTTTGAGGTATACCTGACGAGAAGATGTGCCGTAATTTCCCGAACGCTGCCCAACCGAGTTGAATCCGTCGATTGACCTCTCGGTCGAAGTTGGACTTACCTAGTCGGACTATTTGTCCCAGGTAAACATACTCGTCAACAACTTCGAGCTTAGTGTTCCCAACAACTACCGGCATAGGTGTGACATGGACATTAAACATGATCTTTGTTTTGTCCATGTTCATCTTAAGACCTATCCGTTGGGAAACACTAATGAGGTCATTGAGCATAGTGCTTAGGTCCTCCAGCGATTCTGCCATAAGGACTATATCGTCGGCAAATCGAAGGTGAGTGATGTACTCGCCATTGATGTTGATACCGTATCCTTTCCAGTCCAGAAGCTTGAAAACATCTTCCAATGCAGCGGTAAAGAGTTTCGGGGATATGACGTCACCCTGTCTTACACCTCTCTGCAATTGGATAGGTTTCGTACTCTGGTTCTGTACTCGGATAGCCATCGTAGCCCTACTGTACAAGCACTTCAACACTTCGATATACCGACAGTCAACTTGGCATCGCTGTAGGGACTGCAGCACCGCCCAAATTTCGACGGAATCAAAGGCTTTCTCATAGTCCACATACGCCAGACATAGTGGCAAATTGTACTCCTCGGACTTCTGTACAATTTGCCGAAGGGTATGTATGTGGTCTATGGTGCTAAAGCCTTTTCGGAAACCAGCTTGTTCGGGAGGCTGGAAGTCGTCAAGTCTGCGCGCGAGACGATTCGTAATGACTCTCGAAAACAGCACGTAGACGCGGCTCAGAAGGGAAATCGGTCTGTAGTTCTTCAAGAGAGCGTTGTCGCCTTTCTTGAAGAACAAGACCACCGCACTTCTGCTCCACGCCTCCGGTGTAATGCCACCATGGAGGACGGAATTAAAGAGCTTCTGAAGGACTTCAAGTACCGGTTTTCCACCCGCTTGCAGAAGCTCCGCTGTAATTCCATCCTCGCCTGGGGCCTTGCCGTTTTTAAGGTGCTGGAGAGCCATTCTAATCTCGCTCAGACTGACGTCCGGGATATCATCGGAATAATGTCGGATAAGTCTCGCTCTTGGATCGTTACTCACACTTGCGTGCGGCTCCAACGATGACGTGTACAGCTGCCCATAGAACCTCTCAATCTCACTCAAAATCTCAAGTGCCCCGGAAACGATGCTGCCACATTCTGTCTTCAGCTTTGACAGTTGGCGCTTTCTGGCAGACAGATCTCTGGCAAAGACTTTGGAGCCTCGGTTC